TTATATGAGGCGCGGTGTTCGAGCCGGAAAAAAAAAAAAAAAAAACTCCCAGGCGCTCTGGGAGTCTCCCGCTCCCGGTCGCCAAGGAGAGAAACACTGTTTTTTCTTTTTTTTTCTTTAATCTGACATGGAGCCGTGTCAGAATAGAAAAAAAAAGAAGATTTTTTCCCATAGGAATGCATTGCTAGATTCCTATTGGCTATTGCAAATTGAAATAGCCAATAGGAATCTAACAATGCATTTCAATGGGCAATTTTTTTTCTTTTATATTCTGAAACGGCTCCGTGTCAGAATAACAAAAAAAGAATAAGCAGTATTTCTCTCCTTGGCGGCCGGGAGACTCCCGGAGCGCCAGGGAGAGTTAGCTGTCTGAAGATCAGTGTCCCTGGTTAGCAGGTAACCAGGGACGCTGTTCTCTCTGCAAGTGACCGGAGCCTGCCGTAAGATCACGGCTGGCTCCGTCCAGCTGTCAGAAGCAGGCTGTCGGCCGGCCAATGGCCGGCCGCTCGGCCAGCTTCGGCTTTCAGCGCGGCTCAGGGCTAGTGAATAGCCCGTACAGCACCTCTTCGGTTCTACTGAACCGAAGGGGTCCTGGGGCGGAAGCTAGCCGAAGGATCGGCCGAAGCTACGGCTAGATCCTTCAGAAGCTTCGTGAATAGGCCCCTTAGTGCTCCACTTTCATGGATCCAAAAATACCCAGAATACATATCAGTGGATTATTAAAAATATAAACTCCAAAGGCTATATTTATTATGTCCACTATTTCCTGCCAATATCGTTTCAACTTCGGGCACAGCAGATGTATCAATGAACCTGGTTCAAACCCACATTTTGGGCATTTAGAATCTTCCCTGAGTCCTATCTTATATAGGAATTCAGGGGTCCGGTATGTTCTATGTACAATATAGAGCTGTGTTAATTTATGCGATGCAGACGGTGAAACTAATTAGACTGAAAGCAACGCCTCCCTCCAAAGGGTATCTTCTAGTGGCCCCAAATCTATTTCCCAACCCACTTTACATTTCATACATTTCACTACATTTACTATTTTCTGGAAGCACAGAGCTGCACTGCAGCCAGTAAAGATCCTGACAGATACCCCGTTGCCTTATTGACAGCTGGCCCTCTACAGCCAGAACAAGTTTTCCCCTCCCTCTCCCCTGTCTGTCTCTCCAATGAGGGCTGAAGGAACAGAGAGGGGAGCTGTGACTGACAGTCTCTGATCAGCGGTTCATGATCACTCAGGTCTCAATCTATAGAGCTGGCATGTGACAACTGCAATGTCACACACTGCCTCTATGTATTGGGAAGAGTATATTTTACTCTGCCGTGCTTCTGCTTTAACCCATTGTACCAAAAAGCACTTGCAGTGTTTAAAGAATAAATGCACTTTACAATAAAGTGCACTTATCCTTTTGGCCCCTTTAAAATTACCTAACCAAGCCCACTCTCTCCTGCACAGATGCATACTTACCGAGTTCAGATGGGCCTGATCTCTGTTGTTTGTTTACATCCTGCAGTGAAAGTCTCCCTCTCCTGGCCATGCCTGTGGAGTAAACCCCATTGACTTCTATGGGGTCGTCTCCTGACCAGGAGTCAGAGGTAGAAGACAATGGGATGTCCCTTTCCCACTAAATCACCTTGAAATGGGGGAAGGATTTGCGTATGAATGAACTGTAGGTTGGTTTGCATATGAACAAACACCCTATTGCCCATGCATATGCAAATCATGTAGCAGGTCATTCATAAGTAAATCCAACAGCAATGTAACAGGGGCAGACATAGTGACAGACAGACTCAGCATACTAGGGCACAGCCTTACAGGGACAGCTGATAGAAAGCGGAACTGTCCCTGCAAATCCAGTACAGTTGGTATGTATGATTTTGGATTAAGCTGGGAAGCGTTAAAACCTCTGCCAAGTTTTTATTGCTGTTTGTGCCCCAATGGGGAGATTTCTTCTCACTTCCAGGACAGGAAACCTCTCCAACAATGACACAAACAAAAGAAAATCACAGTTTGTGTAGAGTAGGAAATACCGTATTTTGCGGTCCATAAGACGCACCGGACCATAGGACGCAGGGAGGTCCGGCGCGCCTTATGGAGCACTCGACATACTGTAGCTTCTGTCACAGCTTCTATGACAGAAGCTGTGACAGAAGCTGCAGTTAGTGACCGCTGAGACAGGTGGCGCTGTGATTACAGCGCCACGGTCTCAGTGATCACACAGAGCAGACGAAGAATGTCCGTACTTCGTCTGCTCTATGATGATCTCAATCGTCGCCGCTGCTCGGTTTTAATACGAGTGATCTCATTAGATCACTCGTATTAAACGAGCAGTGGCTCCTACTGCTGAACTCGATCGCCGCTGCCGCTGCTCGGCTTTAATGCGAGTGATCTCATTAGATCACTCGTATTAAACGAGCAGTGGCTCCTACTACTCGCCCGGCGCCCGAAACTGCATGTCTCGGGCGTCGGGATTCGCTCCATAAGACGCAGGCACATTTCCCCCCCTCCTTTTGGTGGGAAAAAAGTGCGTCTTATGGAGCGAAAAATACGGTAGTTAAAAATGGTTTTATTTCTATCTGTGCCTTTCTGTCCTGATGACACCCACGTTTCTCATTTCTTGCATGGGTGTTACAAGGAAAGGAAGTGAGGAAAATCTCCCCAATTAGGTCATAGAATTTTGTCACGTTAAATAAAGCACAAATGTTTTTCAACTTGGCTTAAATTGGCTCATTAGAATGCATTTAATTGTCTAGTCTGTCATGAGCTAATTTAAAGAAATGATAACTCGTTCTCACTCTATCAACAATGAATTAGTTAGGCATTTTATAAATTGTGGTTGTTTCCAATTCATAAATGTGTATTCAGTCATGTAAGATTGGAATAAGCATGTAAACCTATTATAAATTGTGTTTCTGAACATTCGGTATTTAAAGTTCCTCTGTCATGATTAACGTATCGGGACTGCCATTGCTGGCCCTCTTTTAAAATACTTGTTCCCTGGCTGTGCCTGGCTTCAGTACTTATGAGTCACAGACCTGCAACAAGCATGCTTTAAATGAGTGTTAGAATTCCTTATCTCTGTGCTGCTTGTGGGTCAGAAACTTCCAAATTATTAGCTTGACACCCGGGAACCTAGAATTCTTAAAGAGGAACTTTACCCATATATTTGAAATGACAACAAACACACCTTTTAGAATTGTTTAGTTATGGCAATCTACAAACAAACAGATACTTCTAGATGGTAACCTGCTTTTTATTCTTTGCATACCTTATTTTTAATTTCCTCTCCATTCCTCTCATGGTGGCCGGGAGCTTCCTGGATGTAACAGGCCGTCTAAAGACTGTTAGCCCCACCCACTCGTGCGCGCGAGCAGGAAACTACCTGCAGGAAACTACCAGCGATGCCTCTTTTGTGTCACTCTCCAGCTTCAGAAGCTGATGAAGCAGATCTCTTGCTTCATCAGCCTCTTTGGTGGTCCCCAGGTGACATTAGGGGTCTTGGAGATGTTACATATCATGTTACATATCACCGCGAACGTCGCAGTGAGAGCAATAATTCCAGGGCCATCAATCACTGATAACACTAAACTGATGAGCGGTAAAAGCTTTTACAGCGTCACCTATGGTCAATTTTGGGTATGGTAGTTTTTTGCGATTTGGCGGTTGCGCGTTATTTTAAAGCTTGACATGTTTGGTGTCTATTTACCCGACGTGACCCCGTATTTTATATATTACCAAAAAAATGGGTAATAATAAATGTATTATAAAATAGTGTAAAAAAAAACTTTTGTTTTCAAAATTCTTAGTAATTTTTCCTTAATATAGTAAAAAAATAAAAAAAACCCCAGTGGTGATTAAATACCACCAAAAGAAAGCTCTATCTCTCCCAAAAAAATTGTATAAAATTCATTTCAGTACAGAGTTGCATGACGGAATAGATGTCAGTCAAAGTACTGCAGCGCTAAATACTGAAAAATGGCCTGGCCAGGAAGGTGGTGTAAACACCTGCTATTCAAGTGGTTAATATTCTCTCTTTACTTCCTGGAACTCTGGCACATGTGACTAGGACATGTGACCATGCACATCATTTCAGGGGAGGAAAATGTATTTCCCTGAGATCTCGTAAGAGTACAGGTGAGATTTCCCAGCAATGGTCTGCTGATGTAGCCTTCCCGGGATGCTTAGATACATTACATCAGTAATGCCCAAGAGGACCAGGAAGTAGAAACTGTCATTGTAAATAAAATGAAAATATGTTTGTTTAACAAATGAATGTAAGATGATTTCATATTAGCATACAGAGCTATATCCTGAGGTGATTTTTAGTGAAAGGGGGTAAAGGTCCACTTTAAGGGAGAGGTCAGCAATGGCAGCCAGCCATGACAGAGTCACTTTAATGAGAAAATAGCAGAAGTTGCAGAATGTATTTAATAATGTAGTCTATATTAACCCAAAGCAGCATATTAGAAATCATCTTTCAATAACCAGTCTACTCAGAGCTAATTTCTAATTGGTTGCCATGGGTTACAGTAATTTCAGGTTTAATGGTATATAGATTATGCTAGCCTGAGAAGTATTTCACCTTTAAAGTTATTTGTATTTCACAACCAAAACCATCTTGTTGTTTTATCTCTGTCACAGCCTCCCTATGCCCTGGCTTCTGTATGCCATGTTTCACCGCATGAAACCAGTAGCAGTGAGCAGCAATGGCTTGTTCTGTGCAATTATCCTTCTCTTTATAATGCTGCTGTTTGTTATCCTATCCATTGCTTTGTGCAAGTGGAAGATGAACAAGGTCTTGGGATGTATGATGTTTGGGCTGTACTTGGTTTTCTTGGTCATCAGCGTACTTCTAGAGAACCGCATCATCTTATGTCCGGTTACTGTCTAGGCTAAAAAGCTGAAGAATGGTGGAGCAGATGTTCTTGAACATAAAGGGCAGTAGCATGGCTTTGCCCTCAGAAGGCCAACGTGCAACCTTGAAATACTGTCAGAGGACATATGATCAGTGGATCAGTCCTGGAGAATCTAGAATCTATACAAACTTTTACTGTACATTTCTAGTGCACGTTGTATTCTTCTATTACTCCCTTTACATATGATATATACATTAATATGCAGGGTATACTAAGCAAAAGAGACATATTAGTAAGCAAAATCTCTAGAATTTAATATCAGCTACTCATTGGAAATCATAGATGTCCAGTAGCCGTAAATAGATTGAGCGTATCAATTCCTCACCATGGATGTATTTCAACACTTCTTTACCTGTAGTGTAGCCTGGAAGGGGTGTTGCATAAAAAAGATATTTAACTCCGCTGAGTAGTATAGGAACCACTTGTTCAATGAGTATAATGCAAATGTGGCAAAGTGGATTCTGGGAATGAAGTGTATATGGGAGATTTAGGTTTGCTACCTACTGTATACTATCTTTTGTCTTTATTAAAATTTATCAATGGCAGTATTGCACACTTCACATAGAAGAACAGAATGGGTTTATATATATATATATATACTAGCCCAGGAAGGCTTACAACCTATTTTGTGTATAAAAAAAGAGGCGTATGGTCAAGAACTTATGTGACAGAGTCTTGTGATTTCAGGTCCCAGGTTGAAATAACAATTTGTACTCCTGTTCTAATTGCAAGGCTGAATAACATCTATTAAAAACAATAAACCATTTCATGGCGTAAAAATGAGGCATTTGTGCTCTGTGTGCTTTTTTTTGTGTTCTTTATGCAAGCCGATCAGTGTTGCACAATGTGCATGTCACAAAAGGTATTTTGTCCCAATGAAAGTTCTGTGCCTTTTGGCTGTGCAAGGAAGCGCTCCATACTGTTCTAAACTCCCACCCTAAGACAACCCTATTGTTTTGTCCACAATGAATCCCTTACAGTAACTATTTTCTGCCAAAATAATAAAATATTTGTAAGGGGTATCTAAAACAAAAATATGTGTTTTTTTTATAGTTATGAATAAAGTAGGAAAGGGTTAGAACCTGTGTAAAATTTGTATTTCTGTCCTGGGCTATGCAGCCAATGAGACCAGTTGAGGTGGCACGCATGGAGGCATAGTGGGGGGCAGCACCATACCGGACACTCAATCCTCAGTGAAGCTCAGTAATGATGAGCCTGATAATATCAGACTCAGGATTACTGAGCTCCCACCTGGCCACTGCACCTGTCACACAGGCAGTCATAGTGGCTGAGCCTCTTTGATGACAAAGAACCTGTTAACAGTGCACGCTGATTTTCTTTTCATGATGCAGAGCAGGGAGATAAGTGAATATGCCATGAATCATCAGACTCACCACTGTCACATCAGTCAACCATGTGTAGGCTCTGACAAAAGTTTACATGGGTTTTGACTCCTGGAGCAGGAAAAGTGACTATAAGTGGGTCAGGGTTGGGCTTTAATAAGGGCCTGTTACTTTGGCCTGAATGGGAAAAGTGACGGAGTCTCTTTTATATAAGACTATTTCCATTCATTATTCAAATTTACATTAAACCAGATCACATTTTAGGAGCTGTTCATTCAGCAATTTATAGATACATGTGCACAACAAACTATAAAATTAATAAGGCTACAACTTTTATTTTGTACGCTATTGCATCTGCAGAAGAAAATTGCATGGATTAAGGAGGTCCTTGCTGCCTAGATGCTGTGGGCAATTACACAAATAGGATACATTTTAAATTACATTATAACAGTAATCTGGGCACTTGAAAGGTTTGCCTATCCCATCACATAATAAAAAAATATTGTGTGTCTTGAAAAAGCTACAGCAGAAGCAGGACAGGAGGAAAGAATGCCTAGACCTAAGGTAAGCAACAGCTGCTCACTATCTAGTTAGAGTTAAAGCCCAATTAAAGCCTCACACCTTTTATCCTGTATTCCAGCATGATTTGGGACTGATTATCACTCGGAAATTCTTAGAATACCTTTTTCTCTTCGTAAAAATTCTGCTTCCTGCCCATCTCTCCAGTGGTCTGTGCTGGCATAGCTGAGTAACAGCCACACCCCTCATCACATGTCCTCATGCAACCTTGTATTGTAGAGAAAGGTGTGTGTCAAACAAGGTCTGTTGATTACTGATCACTCGGGTGCCTATTGGACTGCACAGTCATATTTTGAAATTCTGCACAACTGCTGAAAGTGATGGTAAGACTATAAATTTGGAGGTTGCTAGTACAATGTTTCTCTATAAATATTTATTTCAGCCACTTCAATTTAATATTAACCTTGATCGTGTTTCCTGATGACTCATTGATTGCAGAATTATCCTAAATGAAATTGTAGAATTCTCCTTCATGGCAGGGATGGACAAATGTTTATGGGTATGCCTATATGCAATGTGTAAAAAAATATACAATCTAAAGAGAAACATAGAAGAGTGGCAGCAGAAACGGACCATGTGGTCCATTGGGTAGTCTGAGTTTAGATTTATATTAGTCCCAAGCATGTTTAAATTCAGTACTGATTCTGAGGTAAGTGTGCCTGTGAAGCTCTGCCATGTAAAGCACTGACTTTACCTTGCAATGAAAGCACTACGTATTTACAAAATGTTGGCATATGAATACTGTGGCTAACGCACACAGGCACACTAAGGAACAATTTACCTACACCAGTTAAACCAAACCAAAATATACTGACACTCTTAATTCACCATTTACTACTTAGGGTGCTCCAGGCCTTTTAAAGTGCTGGAAATCTCCTCTCATGAATGACCCTGTTTGTAACCTAAGTATGGAAACAATTCTACAACCAGTTGACAAATAATTGGCAGTCATTTGGTACATCATGGAAAAAAAGTATAGTTGCATAAATAGTAATACCATATCAGTTTATGTGGTCAGTGTACAACAATGTTTCTGTATAATTAACATTTTCAGTGTGGGCTTACATTAAGTGACTGTACAGTAGTGTGTTTGTTGACATGGATTAAAAATAAAAGAAATAGGGCTGTGGAAATTAAAGATTCATTTCTCAAATAATCGTTAAACTTTTTGATTGATTAAAATTCTTTTGATTGCTAATGAAAACACTCACCTCTCCGCCGGCTTCCGGGAGTCCCGTTAGAGATCCGGTGAAGTTACCGGACTCCTTCTGTGCTGTATGTGTATAGGCCAATGTAGTTGGATCTGTATGTGCGTTATAATTAATCGAAATTAATCAATTAATCGAACACGAAAATTTTAATCATTACAAGCCCTAAAAAGAAAGTCTTTACAAGGGTTTAAATGCTCAAAATTACAATCACAAATCTTCTTATAGCTGGCCATACACCTATAGAGTATCTGCAGATTTTCTATGGTTAGATGGAAAAAGTGCAATAGATTCTTCCATCTACGCTATACTGTGTGGATGGAGGAATCTCCCACTGGGCCAAGCTTCAGTATCTTGCTAGCTGGCCCCCGACAAAAACAGAACTCAATTGCATAGCCAATTGTGTAGGGATGTATTGAAAAATGTAAAGTTATACACTTGGGTGCTAAAAATGCATGCAGAATTTTTGCTAGGAGGGAATTCTTGCTGGGGGTCAATACCATGAAATGGCAAACTGCATCTAACAAAGCCAGCAGGTTATTATGCTGCAGTAAAAAATGTATTTATTCAAGAAATAAGACAATTATTCTACCACTATGCAAAACACTTGTTCAACCTAATATAGGGTACACAGCTCAGTTTTGGTCACCAATCCTCAGGGAGGAAGTCCTTGAACGCAAAGGAAAGATCAAAGGAGGGCAACTAAATTAAGGGGGTGGAGGACCTGAGTATTGACTATAGAAATGAAACTTAAATGGGGAGTGCACTATCAGGAATAAACTGTTTACATTAAGGGCTCGGAAGAAGATGCCTGGCCTGGCCACAACATGAAACTGGACGAGAAGTGGTTTAATCTAAAAGGATGTTTTACTGTCAGAGCAGTAAAAAGTGGAACTTTCTTCCACAATTGGTGGCATCACCTGAAAACATCGATAACTTCAAAAAATATTTAGATGAGTTTCTTAGTTTAGAAAATATACAGGGGTATGGGAGTCCATAGCAATATGTATACACACATACATATATAGGTTGAACTGGATGGACCTGTTTCTTTATTCAAGCTTACCAACTATGTAACTATGTAATACATTTACTCTGAAAAGCCACCTGCATTTTCAGGGCAAAGTAACAGCTTTGCTTCCTGCAATGTAGCACCCGGTCAGAGCCATAGCTAGCTCCTTTTGCGCCCGAGGCAAGAACAAAAAATTGTGCCCCCCCCCCCCCCAAAAGGCATGTGACAACACCCGACGCAGCACACACGCGGCGTCATTTGATGTTATGTGCCCCGCCTCCAGAATGTGTTTATTTTTATTTTTTTACTGTTGGGGGGCTTCAGGGAAATATCAAGGGCTTTTGAAATAGAAAAAGAAATTGAAGACACAGAATCCTCTAATTCTGCAGCCTCTGTTCTAAATTAATGGAAAGCACTCAGTACAGAGGCTTTCCATTCATTCAGAAGCTGGTGATAGTAAAATATTTACTATCATCCAGTTATGAATGGATAGAAGCCTCTGTAGTGAGTGCTTCCACCCATTCAGAAACCCGTGAATGAACACGAAGTGCTGTAAAGCACTTCCTGTTTATTCATAAATGGGCACAAATAGGGGGGAAATTATCAATACTGGAGCAGATTTGCACTGCAATCAATCAGTTTCTCTGTCTCATTTTCAAATCTTACCTGAGCAAATTGAGGAGAGATGCTGATTGTTTGCCTTGGGCAACTGCTCCAGATTCTCTGTGCTCCAGTTTTGATAAATTTCCCCCATAGTACTATGTGTCCCCAGTTGTTTACAAACACTAGAGTGATGACTTGATCACTCCAGTGTTTGTGCTGCACACAGAGGATCGGTAAATATCATTGTTATTTACCGATCCTCACACTCTCAATCCTGAGCCACTAGGCCATGCACAGAGGGGTGGCAGAGCCACCAGCTGTAAGATTCTGGCTGAGCATCTTTCTCTCACTCCTCACTGCTTGGCCATCCTGAATGACAGCTCCCTCCCCCGGCTGGCTTTAGCACTCTTTTTTTTCTTGGATCGCCGCTGCTACTGCACATACAGGCAGGGGAGAGCAACGGGGATCCAAGGAGAAGCTGCAGACTATGCCACTCCTCTACTCTCTGCTGCCCTTTGTTGGCTGCCTGGAGCCCCTGTTGCCATGGCGCCCTGGGACGAGGGGGCGCAGCCAGGCCCACTTACAGCTGCGGCCCTGCACCCGGTACCTGAGCAGACAAACACCTGGTCCATCATGGCATGTAGCATCATGGGAGCACATGGAAAATAATGACAGGCTCCCTATCCTATCTTATGATGCTATCCTATCGTATCTTATGATCATCTGCTTGCTTATTCAGGTTTTCAACTCTTCAGTTGGGAGATATTTAAACATGCTGTGCAGTTTTATCCATGTTCATAACTGATGAAATGCTAAATGCAGTAACCCAATAGCTACCAATCAGACTGTAGTTTTCCCTAGCCATATAAGCTGCTAGCTGTGAGTTACTACAGTCCATGTGTTAGTTGGACAAATAAGTCAGCCATACGTGTTGTTGGCTAGGTGAGTGTATTGCCTTTCTCAACTTTGAATTAACTTTTTTTGCACTAATTCCATTTCACCCATTTAAACTGACCTTTTTGGAGATA